CTCCATTGTACACCTTACAACAAAATTATTTGTAATTACCTGTGTACGTTATTTTCTTTGGCGGCATTTTGTCCAAGGTTATGATTTTCTTTCTGATATTGTTTTAATCTAACCCCCTTTTTTGTTAATTTAATATTGTCTTTTGATTGAGTTAAGCCATTTCAATTTTCGAATTGATATTTTATAGTGTGTCTTTCTCTGTTGTGATGTTACACTATTGTTTCAGGTTGGGTGAAGGTTGGCGCCTATTAAAACGTTTAAACCCGCTGCATTTGTTTGCACCTGTCCTAAGTCAGGAACCTGATGTTCAGTGGTTGTCATTTGTTGATGTGGTTCATAAGTGTTTCTCGTTTTTATATAGATTAGACCGCTGGTTTTCCTGTTTGAATTGAATGGTTTTACACTAGTCATTTTTGGGGCCCTTTATAGCTTACTGTTCGGTGTGAGCTAAGGCTCCGTGTTGAAGGCCGTACTTTAACCTATAATTGTTTACTTTTACAAATTGTGAATTGGATGGAGAGTTAAGTTAAGTTAAGTTAAGTCATTGGCACTCATATATCTTCTTATATCATGTATATCTATGTTCTCCATTTTATTTACTAGAATTGGGCTGCACTGTACAAATTACAATGTTATTTCAGGGGGTTATTTCAAGCATAGATATATATACCCCGGGATTCATGTTTCCTATTTGAATCTTAAAATTATTTCAAATATAAACCAAAATAATATTCGTTGATAACTAGAACCAAACAGGGCCGTGGAAGAACAGAAACTATGCTATATTTTTCCTTTTTTGTTTTCTTTTTCATTATCATTATAATGGGAGAAAAAGAAAATAGGAAAACGGCGTTCAACCTAAAGTATTACGATTAGACAGCGTAAGCGTCCAGCTTTAGGAACAAAAGGACAATGCATTACGGATACACAACTTACTTCATTAGCTTATGACGTTGCTGCAGACGCTTTTTCATTTAAACAAATACTGGATACCATATTAAAGAATCATCAAATTCTAGATTGGTTAAACTGGTTCAGTGGTTCTAGAGATGACGAGTTTTGTAAACGTTTACGACGACAACGACGACGGACGCCAATCTGTGCAAGGTGAGCAAAGAATTGCAGTTTGATTATATTCTTTATGTTTAGTGGTTTTTAGCTTCGTAATTGATTTCGCCGTCCAATTGTTTTGATCCGAGCGTCACTAATAGGTGTTTCAAACTAGACGTAACGCATGTCTGGCGTAATAAATGATAAAATCTGTATATTTGATGAGGTTTTTTTTCAAATAAAAAAATAATAAGATGTGGTATGACTATGTTACTGTATACAACTTTTATAATAATTTGTAACTTCTTTAAGCGTTGTTTGATTGTCAAGAAAATCAAAAAATGTAAATAATTTTACAAAATATAAAAGCATACCTTTATATAATACTACTCAACATAAATATGATAATAAACATGATTTCCCAGAAGACAACAGTTATCCACAGCGAATGCAACGGGTGTGTAAACAAATGTCTACATCTACAAAAGCAAATTTAACTTTATTTACAAAAATAACTTAATCGTCATTTTTTTTTAATACTATATATAAACTCCTCCTAATTTGTTATTCATGTTGCTACTGGACTACACGTAATACGATTCGTCCTAAACTGCTATATGTATACTGTCGTGATAATTTCCAACTGCAATTTGTTTAGGAAACAACAACTAGAAAATACATTATCTGTAGTTTTTTTGTGTAAAGAAAATGAAAATCTAGATAAACATAATGTTGTTGGGTTTTTTTTCGCACAAACTAAGACACAAAATCAACAAGATTTTAACGCTGAAATTTTGGAAATTAAGAAGTTTTAATTTTAAAAATTGTATGAGGTATATTTAATCAAACGTCTGTTGGATGAACACAACAGTACTAAGAACTGAAAATTCGATTTTTTACATACTGTAACGTTTGTGGGTCACTTTATTTGGTTCATTTTTTTTTTTTCATTATTAGTAATTCTTATTTATTTTCCCAAAAAGATTTATTATTATTATTTTATTACTTTCAGAATTTTTCATTCATTAAATTTTAGTGACGCAACAAACCTCGCATTAGTATTCAAAATAGTTTTCCTTTCTCAACCAATCAGAGAGCTCGATTAAATTCCCGGGGAAAATTAGCTCGTGCAATGATTGTCTTCTGGAGATCATTCCCAGCTCAGACTCCCAGGTGTGTAGACGTATAGGTAAAGAGGGAATTTTCCACCATGTGCGCGAATATTTTGAAGTGGTCTCGGTGAGGAATCTCGCGCTATTTTTATAGCTATAATTAGTGTACTGAAGAAAATGTGTATTTCATCGTTTTTTAGGTAAGAAGTTCCCCCTCCTTTTATGTATATTTTGGTTTACTAAAACTGGCTAGTTTTGGCACAGGGTTTGCATTGAATATTTAAACGGAAACTTTGAATATTTACGTATTGAGACGTAGTTTATTTTTAAAGCGGTTCGCTGGTTAAATGAGTTAAATTATGAGTGGAGTTTTTGAATAGTTCTTTGAACTGAATACAAGTTGTCAGTTTGCAAATACCAAGATTCGATTAACTGTTCAGCTTGTCAGTTGTTTATGTTAAAGTTATTTATAGATTGCTGGTAAAAAAGAAGTTAAAGTTCGGAGTCATTATTTGTTTATATTTTCGTACGTGTCTCAAATCTATGACTTGAACTTAAAGACAAAAATTTTAAGTATTTATACCCTTGCAAGCGAGTTTTAAATGCAAACCCTGGGCAGAACGGCAGCGTGAGTCTTTAGGGAAAATAACAGTTGTAAAAAAAACATTTAACGTCGTGGTCTAAGAAATTATTATAGAGACTGCTGAATTAGACCATTGACTTACAAAATCATTCCTGTACTTTATACGCAACTGATTCATGTGTGTGTTGTTTAATAAAAGTTGTACTTTACTGAATTATTTTATTACAGATCAACGCCTTGTCCCTGACTGGACTTTAGTCTTTTGATTAAATTTAATTCTTGTTACTCCCCTTTGTACAGAAAATAATCTAGACGTCAATCAGTGCTCTTGAGCCTGTGTTTCAGATTTTCTTGACAACATACCGTTTGTGTAAAAGCATATTCAGGACAGAACGAGTCTTATTTTGTTTCAACTTCCCGTCAGTGGGTTACACCCTGGTTCTTGTTATTTGAATATTTGGTATACTAGTTAGTTTAATGGTTTTGAAGTGGAGAACTAGTTTTGGAAAAGTCTGACCTTACGTTGTTATTCCGAGCTTGTAACGACCACTTTTATTAGGTCGGACTAGTTACATTTTGTCCGTCGGTCTGTTCCACCTTTATTCATTGTTTTACCCCAAACATATTTAAATGCATTAGGTTTACTCTGGGACTTACTATTGCGATAGAGTGATATTGTTCTTCATATTTGAGTTGAGAGATAAATATACTGAGAGAAATTCCAATCGAGGTGCAGCTTGCTACTTGTAGTATGAAACTGAGGAGACAATTAATATACTGAACTTTTACCAGATCAATTGAGTTTGAGATTGTGAATTCTCCTGTTAAAATTGGTACAACGCCAGATCCTTATATATCTTATAACGATCCAGATTGTTCTCCTGTTGGTCAATATAGCCACATACTATGGAGGTATGACTGCGGTCAAGGTCAAAGGTTAGCGTCTGGTTGGCCATACGAGCAGACTAGACCCTTTTTATCATCCGTTTGAGAAAGATTCTAGAAGCTACTTGTGACTGATCATCTGGCCAGGGTTTAATAACCATCAGATATATAGTTCCTGAATACACATGTTTAAATCATTTATAAACTGGTGGCATAAACCGTTAAATAATATACCTAAAAAACTTTAAATATTCTAGACGGGCTTAACTATAATAGAAGTCCTATAGCGAAAGCAAAGGTCGAACCCTACCCTAGATTTAGACTAAAGCAAATGTTGTTGGGTTGCTGTCTAGTAGATACATAGTCCTGTTAAGGGTCCATAGACAGCAACCCGGCTTCGTTTCAATACTATTGACAGACCCAGTCGATGCACTTAACTTATGAAACATGAAAACTTTTACATTTTTAAATATCAAATGCCAATTGCAGTTGCATTTGTCACGTTATGTTGTATTGTAGACGGGTCTCTTTTTCTTTTTATTTCTTTTGTTGTATATATCCGTTTGCAAGGGGAAAGCACATCAATACTATAGTTGCATGCTTCTTCTGAATTCTTCAGTTTATAAATCTCACTTATGCGTCAATATTTAAACAGGTAAAACAATGACTATTGAAAATAAATCCAGTGAATAACTGTGAAAAGAGGTCATTGTGACTAGTTATTAAAACCGTATGACAATGTATGTATTTTGGTTGCTATCACGTTTACTTTGGGTTACTTTTTTGTTCTTATGGAAATATGTTGTTAGGATAGACCATTGGTTGTCACTGCAGAATTTAATCATTCGCTGTACGGAAAGTCTTGAGCATTTTTACTTTGTAACCATATGTTGACCTCTAAATGTAACAGGTGCGTTAGTGTCGTTAGAATGCTCTCTTATGGACGTATATCCCACATCTATTTTTATTCGTATTTCTACATTGTATTTTTTCATTAAATTTAACGGATTCCTTTTTTTTTACACACACCCCACCCCCACCCCTGCTTATATTTTTGTGTCTTTTTATTTCAGTTTTGTCCAAAGCAATTGCCGTAACGATATATGTACGTATCCTAATTGCAATGCATTTTCCCAATATCAAAAGCAATTGACACCGTGGTATACGATTGATTCTTGTTTCTAGCGTTGATGTATCAAAATTTTGCTATCAAATTCAGCTTTCGGAAAAAATTACATAATTATGTAAAACTTTCATGGCAATATTGATTTTCCTTCTCACAAGTTTTTGTTGTTGATGAAAAAATATCTTAACATGTAGCCAAATGTTGCAAAATGTGGAAATATGAAACAATATCAATTAAATATGCACGAATGCCTTATTTGACATTTTCACGTAGTGCATAATGAATTAATTTTTGGACATATTTGCAGCTAATGTTATTTTGTGACTTCATGTACAAACCAGTAAGTTTATATATTTCAATATTTGTATGAATAAAATTTGATGTGGTGAATACATCATTTTAATAGTTCCAAACACCAAAACAAAAAGAAAACATAAGAGACATCAAAAGGTTATCATACAGTATTCATGTATCTATACAGTATGCCAGGCTCTAAATCGTTTCTTCTTTTAGAAAAGGTTGTGATTAAGTTAAATAGAGGTCGTACAAGACAAGCAATTTTTATATTTTCTTGTATATGTTGTAGAAATTCCTTTTTATTAGACTTTTAAGTGGAAACTGGAGATGTTGCTTTGTTTCAGTGGTAGTGCTCTAATGCGTTTAAATGCGTTTGAGTTTGTGTCATTGTTTTTCTCTTGCGAGAGCTCTAAGATGATTGCATTAAGCACGTACCATGTACAATTTATCGATTGCATTCATATAAAAAAGAAGATGTGGTATGATTGCCAAAGAGACAACTCTCTACAAAATAATGTTTGTTATTGAAAAAAAAATACTGCAATGTATTCCTCGATACAGGAGCCAGACTTATTTTATTAGGAGAATTATATTATTTTATTGAAAAGGTAAACATTACTTTCAAGACTAATGCCCCCTCTCAACTTCAATAGATGCATTTTATTCTCGTCTTACTTTTTTTAAATTTGCATACTAGTACTCTTTTTCATAACTAAATTTTTCAAACAATTTGTTGACCTGAATCTAAACGTATGAACTTTGACCAATAAAGTTTCAGATTTTGTACAGTCATCCAACCAACAGTGACAAACCTGTGTCAAGCTACGCAGCGCTGGCGTCCGAAATCACTTCATTGATCAATTTCTTTCAATAGTGGGAAGACGGCTATTTACTGATTAAAACGAATTAAATTGGGTAAGCTTCAGTTCAATTCCTCTAAAACAAAATAGACACAGCTCCCAATATAAGTTCCCGTCTGTGTTCACATTCCAATGTATTATTAGCCATTATATCACTTATTTAGTACTAGAGAGGTGAAAGATACCAGAGGGACATTCAAATTCATCATGTCGAAAATAAACTGACAACGCCTTGGCTAAAAAAAAAAAGAAAGGAAAAGACCAACAGACACACAATAGTACACAAAACACAACATAGAAAACTAAAGACTGAGCAACACGAACCCCACCAAAACTAGGGATGATCCCAGATGCTCCGGAAGGATAACCAGATCCTGCTCCACATGTGGCATCCGTCGTGTTGCTCATGTTTGTACAAACCCGGTAATAAGTCTAATTCGGTAGGTCACATTCGGGAAAAGGGGACGGGATTGTAGTTACGACATTAGGAACATATCCGCTACTAGTAATTGTAGTAATTGACAAAAAATTCCTATATTGCCGAAATATGTCTACTGTTAAAGATATATTTCGAAATATCTCCGTCGAGCGAAATAATATGGAGATGTTTCTAAACTTGACTATAATATTTCAAGGCTACCAATAAAGTTATAGTACATCAAAACATCATTTACTGATTTATAAATGTGAGTTTAACAGTGGAACAATCGTACATTTTCATTTAAGTTATTTTTAACTCTTTCAAATGTTGAGTAATTCCAAAAAGTGGTAATTAAACATATAATATCATAAACATGGAATATAAAGATATAAAAAAAAATTTCAAAAAAAATAAATAACCAAAACTAAGCTTCATCAATTTGTGTATTATGGCCACATCGACGAAGACAACGCCCTACAAATTTGATAAAGACACAATATAGGCAAAATATATTTCTTCTTACTTTGCTATTATCTGATTGAAGCACAGCTAAAGTTTGCATTTATAACATTTATTTGGATATACTAAACAGTTTAAATGTAGTCTGGTCTTGCATTTGCGACAAATTTTATTAATTAACAGTTTTGTACAAACTTTATTGTTTCGAGATATGAAACAAATACAGGTTGTTAAAGTGTTAGGGACCACAGGAAGTCTCCCCTTTAAATTTTTTGAAGAATGTAAATTCTTTATCAATATCCCAGGAGCCTGTTTATCGTAACGGTCTAGGACTAGGACATGTCTCAGGATCATCTATGGGCATATCAATGTATTAAGTGGGTTTATCAAACATATCGTAGCATAGGAAAATTCACAGGGATGGTCCTAAGTTTAGAAAATATTTTTATGTGTCTTAAGATGGTCGTAGGATGGTCCTAACTTTAGGATATATTCTATGATGGTTAATGTAAACAAATATGACCGCCGCATGATTATGTTTGTTTCGGGAGGAGCAGGACAAATATTTTTTTGTAGAAATAAAATTAAGAATAGAAATGGGGAATGTGTCAAAGAGACAACAACCCAACCAAACAGCAGAAAACAGCCGACGGCCACTGCTTATGAATTTCTAAGCATAAATCGTCCAAAAATTGTTTCGACTCGATACGATCGGTGTTATTTATACCGCTTACCGGAATTACGTTCCCTTTTCAAAAATCAAAACAGTAGTATATATATGATGCCCTCTATTCTTATTTTCAACGTGGAAAATATGATTAGAAGCACATCATATATAAATAAATCACATTAAGTAAATGAAAATATGTTAAAATATTAAAAAATATTAACTTTGAAAATTAAAAAAGAAACAAAAAAATATTCAGAAAGAGGGGGAGTACCTTCCCAAAGTATGTGGTCCGTAATGAAATAGTTTCCGTACTTATATGAAAGATGTCACAGCAAATGAAGACCCCAAGCCACCTCAATTAGTTGATTCAAACGTTGGATCCCTTTTATTTGCAGATGATTTCATTATACTCTCAGAGAGTAAAGACGGTCTTCAAAACAGTGTAAATAACCTGAGTGTTTTTTGTGATGACTGGAAGCTCACTCTCAATATTTAAAAAAAAACCACAAAAGTCTGGTTATTCACCATCAAAGTAATAGTAATATGGAATCATTTATTAATTATAAAAATAATTTATTACAGAATGTTACTGGATATAACATTTATAAGTTTCTATATTCAATTCTTAAAAGTAATGGTAACCTGAATCATAGTTTAGAGGATCTTGCTAGAAAGGCCCAAAAAGATTTGTTTTCTATAAAAGCCAAAATGTCTTCCTTGGGCAATCTGCAAAGGTCTCAAATGATCATTTTGATAAATTGATACCCTCAGTCCTGACTTACAACTCAAACATTACATTTATGGATAGTTATTTGACTTATCATAGGGTTAAAACTCGAGCTAAAAAAAGGGGAAAAAGTCTAAATTCATTTTATTTTATAGACAAAACACCCTCTGAAAAGGTCATTTAAACTTTTGTAAATTTATATTGGGAATAAAAAAGTGTGCTTCAAATGGTGGGAGCACGATCTGAACTTGGAAGATGGCCAGTTGAACTTTTCATTTAAATTCAGTCTTTGATTTATCTTGCAATACTCTACACCGGAAACATAAATCCCCTTCTAAAAGAGGCATTTGTGTTGTCAAATCATTTGACACAACGGTACATATTCTTGGTATACATATGTCAAAAATATTATACCTGGTAGCGATATCTTACATAAAATAGAATATTGTAAAAATTTGAAAGAAGTAAAACCACTCAAGATTCTTATCAAGAGTGAAATAGAAGACAAATATAAAATTTTAATTGCAAATAAATTAAATAGTTATGATGAAAAAAGTAAGTTATTTTTATACAAAAATATAAAACCTGGCCAAGATAAAGAATTGTACTTCAGGTTTCACGATTTAATTATAAGAAAGTGTTGCACCAAACTCCGTTTGAACTTGAAAAGGGTAGATATTTTAAAATCCCTAGAGAAGATAGACTTGTACACTATGCCATATTCTTGAAAACGAGGAACATTTCCTCTTGGAGTGTAATATAAATATAAATAATAATTAAGATTGGATCTATTTAAAGAGTTAAAATCGAACACGAAATTATGTCACTTCCAAAAGACTAAAAAATTATTATATCATTAAACCCTTTATCAACAGAAAATGACTTTTGAAACTAATCGGCTATTTTTTTAAACAGTCATTTGAACTGAGGACAGAAGCAGCTTAATGTTTCATGTGTTATATATATATATTTCTTGACTGCATTAATTATTCATGTTCAATTTATATTGCATTGGTATATATATTTGTGTCACAAACATTTTAATTTGTTTATAAGACAATAAAGATGATTATGTTGCAAATTATAATAGAAAAACAAATGATATGGGGTATCCATCCATGACACAAAATCAGTATATGCGCAGCCAAAAATCACATAAAAAGCAAAGGGATAGCGATTTTATTGCTGTTCTTCATCTCAAAGTCACAGTGAGGCAGATAAAACTTGGAAGAACTGATTTAGTGGACTAGACCTAATGTTTCCCAAAATTAGACAAATATTGGCCATTTCAGAATAACGACTTTGTAGTGATGACGGTCCATAAGCCGTGACCTTTGCCTTTTTCATAATTTTGAAATTCAGGATATTACTAGTAGGCCTACTTAAATGCTGCCCACTATTGGACATTTAATATGTTTTCTTTTCGTTGATATCAAATACATGTGTGTTTGGTTAATCAGAGCTATTTTCCTAATGCTTGTAGTTTAAAGGTTTGGTTGGTTTGCCTGCTTTGTTTGTATAAATGTTTGCTCAAGCATTGTAATTAAGATTGACATCTGCAATAAATAGATAGGCGGGGCTTCAGCTTGTATACATTATACTCTGCATTATACTTAACTTCTAATTACATTTAAGTATAATGTATACAAGCTGAATCCCCGCCTATCTATTGATTGCAGATGTCAAGCTTAATTACAATGCATGAGCAAACATTTATACAAACAAAGCAAGCAAGCCAACCAAACCTTTAAACTACAAGCATTAGGAAAATAGCTCTAACTTCGTTAGCAGAGTAAAGTTGTTCAAACCTTTAAGATTTCAAATGAAATAATTTGTTTGTCATTACTTTTTTTAAATCATCTGTAGTGTATAGGTACACATTTTATTAACATGTAATTTTAATTTG